ACTGCGGTGCAAAACTTTTTTTCCATCTGTTACGTGGAATCTTCAACGGACTCCGTCCAGAAAACTCCTCCCTCCCTCTCTCCCTTGCTCTCACCGGTCGCCAGCAAGAAATACGGAGCCACCAGTTAGCGAGATTGTTATGCGTGGCTACGACAAATGTCTCGGCGGTAAAATTGATCCAAGAACAAATTAGGAAAAGCAGCTGATATCAGCTTGCTTCCATGCAGTCATTGCGGGAAAAAGCCATCAAAGATGTTGCTTTTATGGACAATTTAGCGGGTACCTTTTCATTATTCACTCCGCCACGAGACGTCCACTCTTTGGGGCATCATTTCTGCGGCGCGCACCCTTACCTTAAAACATTTTCGAGTGAATTTCTAGAATATCGAAAAAACGATTTCTGAAATTGCTAAAATTCAAATGGAATAAATTTTTGTGAGAATCTCCTAGAATATACGGAAAAGAGGGTACAAATCAAATATCGAACAGTAGAAGAATGAGCATACAAAATTTTACAGCATAATTTGAATTTTACTAAAAAAAATGTTAACTTCATAATAATTTTTATTGGTTTTAATGTGCTACTGATTGTACGACAGTTTTCTCGCTTCTTCGAATAGATGGGGAAGAACTGCCCAATCATCTTCACTGATACCAAATTCCTGAAAAAAACAGATGCTGTCATCAAAAAAAAAAATTGGTCTCAGATAAATTTTCTGTCCAGAATGTTAAATATACCAATAATAGAAAGGTATTTTGAGGTAGAAAGAATAATAGAAAAAAGAAATAATATTAAGAAATTAGTGAAAGTAAAAAAAATTATTTTGGTAAAATTAATGATAAAAAATGTTTCCGTCCATTAAGTCGTATACATTTCTTACCATTACCACAATTGGACCTCGTCAGTACGACGACTGTGATAACCGCAATTTGTGTAAACAATAATACCAGTACCGCCTTACTATCACTGTGGGCATCTCACTGTAGTCTGTTACTGGCATTTTCTATGTCATGCCCTTTCGCCCTGGGACTGCACACCTCCAGTTAGTACCCACCGCTTGTTCGATGTACGTTTTGAATATGGAATGTTTTAATTACAAATGCTGATTATACTTTGTTTCCTGGTAGAAAGCCACAATTCAGATAGTGTTGAATGCGCTGCATCTGCTCCAATCCGGACAACAAGCGGCTCCCGTCCTCAGACTTCATAAGTTTCAAATTTTTTGACTGCTTCAACTGCATCACTGAAAATTTCTAAATGTACTTCAACGATTCTATAGCTCTTCCAAAAAAAAATTATTACGCATTCATACAGAACTTACGACTTGTAAAAGTGATGTAACAAAAATGCCTTGAACTGTGAAAATTCCGGAGATCACAAGACAAGGGGAATTTTTACCACGCAAAAAATGAACTTCCACAGCCATTTTTTAAAAATCAAGATCACCCGCAAAATATTTATCGAGATAACGACTGATTTTTATATCCGACGCATACGAATTTACACCAGATTCACAAAAATGTTGAATGATTTGTGTTGGGAGCTACGGAATGGAATATAGCGCAAATGCTTATATATTAATAAAAAGTGATTTCCGATCGGAACGGACCGTATCCTGACAGAGATGACAACGTGCGTTGTGAGCGAACCCCTTTCTCAAAAACTGTTCTGGACCGTGAGGGAATCGAACCATTCCTCTTCGCGTCCGAATGCAATGGGTAACCACTACACCACCAGTCCTTGCACCCTGGTCCAGCCTGTCAGCACATCTACTGTGTATCTGCTTTTCAGGGCAAACACAACTTCCTTTTCTTTTTTTCCTTGTAGCGTCTCTTCGGCCGGCTTCTCGCAAGTTTTCCACGACAAAGTGTGACATAGTAGTGGTGTTTTACGACAAATACTTATCAGGAGGAACCGCTGAGGTGATAATTTCTTCAAAACGGAAGTTAGGATCACCAACAGCCTGACCAATATTGGCTAAAACAACTGGAAAAGTTGTCAGCTGCATAGAAGCACAGTTACATCATCAAATAACTGATTCTTGAACTATTTCAGATTGGCAATAAAAAATGAATTACTTCAAATTTCATGCATAAAAAAATATTACATTTTTTGTTGTCTTCGCAGCCTAGCTCACCAATGAATCTGCCGGACAAGCATTCCAGTATAAGAGGGCTGTCACGGAAAACGTGTGGAAAGGAGAGTCTCGAGCGCAGTGATATTTGAAATGGCCTGAAAATAACATTTTTTTAGTATCAAACATCGATTAGTGCCAAATTAACCAACTGAAGATGAAGCAGCTTTGGCGAATTTTGAAAATCCAATAATTCTTTGCAAAAACCTCAATCACAGTAAGTCACCACTGCTTTTAATGAAAAGTCACTGTGACATAGCTGTAGGAAAGGCTCCATCTCAACCTGAGAGGGAATTTTTTTGCCAAAAAACCGTTCGTGTAGAGAGAGAAAGATGTCCTACGCAGATGATAGAAAAAGCCCGCTAATCGTTAAAATGTGGTGAGAACCGGTAATAGCTTTGAACCTCCTACCCAAAATTGAGTGATAAACGCCAGAAAATGTACACATACATATACTATGTAAGTGATACGTAAAAATATGAAAAATTAGCCAGGTACGCCGTGCACTACTCGTCTGTTCCACCTCCCCC